AGCTATTTTTCAAATGATAAATTAATTTCTCCTTTCTTGGAAAATATGCAACAGTTTAAAAAAAATTAAAAGAAAGAAAAAAAGTAAGAGGTCGTGATGTATAACAAACTCGAGTAATTGCGATAACAATAGGAAATAAATTAATACGAGAGGAAAAGTAATTTTAAAAACAAGTTAATTATGAAAAATGTCGAGAGGAAATAATTAGCATATCGTTACTGTATTTATTTTATTTATATAAATAATGTAGTTATATATCACGAGGAAAAAAGAAAATAATTATTTTATAATAATGACAATTTAATTTTTAAAAGAAAAAATTTTTTATTAAATTAAATAATAAGTAGAGGACATAATTAATATAAATAAATATTTTGTTATTCGTCAATAAATATTTATTGCTACCAGTAAAAAATAATTATTTGATTTTTATTAATTTTATTATTATTTTTCAATAAATAAAAATAATTAGATGTAAATACATTTTTACAGTTTTTCTAATTCAATGAAATCACTCGTCATTGTTTTAATATTTTACTAAAAGTTGATTTGCATAGATAACTATTAATTGTTAATCTGATTCGAACTATTGTTTTCCCCCGTCTCCTTCAAATCGAGTTTCTATTTCGCGCTTTAATTCATCAGATCATAATGTGAACATCGAGAAAATTTACACTTTCATGAACGTTGATTCGAATTTAAAAAAAAAATAAATGAATGAATACGAAATAAATGAATATAGAAAATTAATAAAAATCGAAATAATAAAATAAATAAAAAACGAAAAAACGAAACAAATAAAAACAAAATAAAAATAACAAAATAATGGAATAAATGAATAAAAAGCAAAATAAAAGAATAAATAAATAAATAAAATAAATAAATGAATAGAAAAGAAATAAAAAAATGATTAATAAAAAATTATGAAATGAAGCAGAAAAATAATTTAGGAAAGGGAATAATAATAAAGAATGTTGATTTCTATAAAGAATATCGAGAACAGATCAACGCGAGAAAATCGTTCAGATGCGCTCTCACGTATTTGGAATTTTTATCAAGTATCCCACTTTTAGCGAAAAAGGATAAGAGGCGTGCTTTAGATTCTAGCGAAAGATTAAAACAAACTCTTCACTTCAAGTCACTCGTAATGAAGAAATACAGTTTTCTAATGAATTAAGCCAATTAAGCGCAGTTTGTATCGAAAAAAAGTAAGAAAACAATTAAAATATATTTTTTTCCTAATAACAACTGTAGCCAACACTTGTCAATATAAAATATTTCATTTTTGAGTTTTTAAGTAATAGTAGAAGAAATATTGCAAATAATATCGACAACAATACAATAATTAGAGAAATTACAAATGAATGCAGAAATTCAATTATTTTCAAAAGTAATAAAATTCTTCGCAGAAATTCAATTACCTATGTTCAAAAATTTTCCAAAATTCTCATCAAAATTTCAATTATCTTCAGAAATAATTAAATTCTTCTCCGAAATTCAATTATTTTCAAAAATTTTCCTCAATTCAATGTTTTTCAATATCTACTATTTTCATAAAATTTTCAAAAAGAATTCAATTATTTAAAACAAAATTTAATAAAATTTTACACAAACTTTTAATTATTTTCAAAAAATAATAAAAATTTCACAGGAATTTTATTATTTACAAATTTCTTTATAAATTTCTTCGCAATCATTCAATTATTTTCATAAATAATCATATTTTTACGTTGATTCAATTATTTTCGTAAATATTAAAATTCTTTTTAGGAATTTAATTATTTTCATAAATAATATATAAATTCAATTATTTAAAAATTTATAGATAAAATTCTTTGTGAGAATTTAATTTTAAGAAACATGCAATTATTCAATAAATTGTTATTTTTGTATTTAAATAATTGAATTTTAGTAGAATTTTCTCATAAACATTGAATTAATTTTTTTTTGAGAAACTTTAATTGCGGATTTTTTTTTGAAATTATTTCAAGTTTTTATTTTCTAATATATATTTAATTGAAGAATTTATGAATAATTGAAATTTTGTAGAATTTAATTGTAAACAAATGAATTTGAAAATTCTTAAAGAACTTTTTCAAAAATCATTAAAAATAATAGATTTATAGAAGATGTTTAATTAAAAACACGAAAAAAAATTCTATTTTGTAAAAGTTACAATTTATTGCAAAAACTCAATTATTTTCAAGAATAATAATATTCTTCGCAAAAATTTAATATTGTTCAAAAGTAATAAAATTCTTCTTAGGGATTCAATTATTTTCAAAAGTAATAAAATTCTTCATAGGGATTCAATTATTTTCACAAATAATAAAACTCATCGCAGAATTTCAATTATTTTAATGGATTTTCTCGAAAAATGTAATTATTCTTAAAAGTTTTATTGAAATTCTACAAAGAAATTCAATTATTTTAAAAAACCTTCCTATAATTTATTTATTAGAATTTAATTATTATTGTCAATACATTTTTAATTGAATTTCTTTAAAGAATAAAATTCAAATTCTTTTTCACAACTCAAATTTTTTTCAAAATAATTTTAATAAAATTCTTCGCAGAGATTTAATTAATTTCAATAATTTATCAAAATTCAATAATTTTCAATATCTACTATTTTAATAAAATTTCTCAAAAGAATTTAATTATTTAAAAAGAAATTTATTATTGAAAAATTCGTCTCAAGAATTCAATTATTTTTAAAAATAATAAAATTCTTCGCAGAAATTCAATTATATTCAAAAGTTTAAAAAAATTATCGAAAATTATCGAATTCTTGGCAAAATTTCAATTATTTTTAAAAATTGTTCTCAATTCAATCAAATTTTTTACAGAGATTCAATTATTTTTAATACAATTTTAATCTAATTTCTCATAACATGAAATTATTCTTAAAAATTTTATTGAAATTCGTCTAATAACCTACTTAAAAATTTGTTGATAAAATTCTTTAAGGAAATTAAATTTTATGAAACATTCAATTGTTCAATAAATTATTTATTTTTGTATTTAAATAATTGAATTCTAGTAGAATTTTCTAATAAAAATTGATTTAAAAATTAATTTTAGTTAAAATTTTAGATAATAATTGAATATTGAAAGCAATATAGCGTGAATTTTTAAAAATAATTGAATTTTGAAATTAATTTTTTTGAAAAAGTTTAATTGAATTTTTTTAATATTATTTAAAGTTTTTATTTTTTAATATATATTTAATTGAAGAATTGACGAATAATTGAAATTTCGTAAAATTGAATATTGCAAAGAAATGGATTTGAAAATTGTCAAAGAACTTTTTCGAAAATTATTAAAAATAATCGATTAAAAAAAGAATTTTAGTTAAAAATTCTTGGTTCGAGCCCTGTTAAAATAGAAAAAAAATGTTTAGAATAATTATTTATTTTTATCGCAATGAATATTTTATTAAAGAAGTTAATAACAATTTTAATATACATTAAACGTGCGTCCAATATACAATATCGTGCTCCCGGTTAATTATCGTAGTTCTTGTAATAGTTCTCCTTACGGTGATTCAGAGTAATTGCATTCTAAAATCGCGATCAAACCCATTCGAGCTCGAAACACTTTCAGCCAAGCAACTATTTCGACGTATTGAAATCCCGTGCAAGGTATACTGTTTTCGAAAGTTCACACGCTACCTTACGAACAAAGACGCTTCTCTCTTGTTCCAAACATTGAACACCAGTCACGTTCCGGGTCTTGAAAAAAATTTACTTTATTTATTCAAATTTTCACCCGATATCGCTTTTTCCCTATTTCAACTCTCAATGGACATGCGATATTTCTCTCCTTCTATCTCTCTCTTTTCTTTTTTTAAAATTATATTCACATTTTTTTTTATACTAGCTGAGAAAATTTCCAATGAAAGTTTGAATTAATTATTAATTAAAATTTACAATTATTAAAAATTTTGCTACCTTTTTTAATTATAGCAATTAATGAATCAGTAATTACTAATTAATAGTTAATAATTAAAATGATAATTTCTTACTTGAAAATTCGTTTAAAAAAATTTTTAATGAATTATTTATTTTGTTATTCGAATCAAAAATAAAATTTCTTCTTTAAACTTTTTTTTAGCAAAACTGGCAAAGAATTTTTTTTTTAAATAGGTATCTAATTAATTTCATTACACCCGTAAGAGCAACAAAATTGGTGCTTGTTGTTATTTTTTTTTTAAAGACTGCTATCGACTTTTGTGTCGAATGCATTGAACAAAACACATGTTTTGCAGGAATTTAATTGCTGTTTGCCAATTTTCTGTAGTTTCGATTGCCCCGTCAATTGCTTCAGTTGTAATACTGCAATTAGTCGATTTTGTCACTCTCTAACGACTCATTAAAAAAATTTAAACAATTTAAATTAATTTACACAATCAAAACAATTATTTATTTAAAATAAATATATGTTTATAATTCAATTTATATTTTATTAATTATAGTAAAATAAGTAATTAAAACATTAAACAAATAGGTAAATAAATGAGTAAATCAGTAAAATAATAATTAAATAAAAAATAGTGAAATAAATATCAAAAACAAAAAGACGAAAGAGTTTTAAAATATCATTTTAAATTGAACGAAAAATTTGAATTTAATTTTGCTCTCTGTGAAAAGAAAGGAGTAAATATATTGTAGAGAAAGAAGTGAAATAAAATGAAATGAAAAGATTGGATGATTTTGGAATGTAAAATTTCTGTACGATTGCGGAAGGAATATGCTCGAAAAGGCAAGGACTTGAATTGGTTGAGGGAAAAATTGTGAAATCTCACTGACAAGAAAAACGCCTACTCATATAATCGCGAACAACACACACGTGGGACTTGTCCCAATGTCTTGCCACGTTTTCTTTTTTCTCTCTCACTCTCTCGAAACTTTTGTTTCTTGACTCTCGGTAGTTAATCGTCATGAAGCGTGTTCGGATATGGAAATAAATTATAAATATTTTTTTCTTTTTCAACTCACCTGATAATTGACGTTCTGACTGTGACCTCGGTTGCTGTAGTACCTGTAACGAAATTTACTAATTACAAAAACGTTGAGAAAAAAATATTGAAAAACACTTAAGATTTTTTTTTTTGTTAATTTTATGGCTTCTTTTATTATTATTTTATTATTATTCTTTTTTATTATTATTTTTTTTATTTCTATTTTTATTTTATTTCTATTTTTATTAATTATTATCATTAATATTTGCATTATTATTTTATTATCGGAAGGAGATTATAAATTTATTAATATTCGTATAATTTTAATTTTTTTGTTTAATATTTCGTGTCAATTTACGATAAAAGGTACGTACCTATATTAACAGTTGATGAATATTAATATTAATAGTTGAATTAAAATTTTTATCCTTGGATAATAATACAGTGTAATTATTATTTCTATTGTTTGAATTATTTTTATTTTTATCATTTTATTGTTGGAAGCTCATTATGAATTTATTAAATAATCGTGAAATTTTATGTTTTAATTATTTTAATTTTTTAATTTTGTGTCATTTTAAAATTAAAGATACGTAATAATAGTTTTTTTTAAATTTTATAAAAATCTTTTAAAGAATTCTAATATGAAATTGTAATAGGAAATTCTTATTAAAAATTGTTCTAAAAGTTCTTATAAAAAATATTGCAAATAATTTTGCAAAAAAATTTTTATTCAAAACTATCAAAAAATTCTTATGGAAAATTCTTATGAAACAATTTCATTTGCAAAAAATATTTTTAGAGAAACAATAAAAATTAAAAAAAAGACTTTTAAATTCGTATATATTACATTGAGTCTTCAGTATTCATTTATTTATTTATTTTATTTACAACTTGATTAGAGTATAAATAATTATTTTAAGAGATTTAAACTTTTTCTTTCTTTTTGCAAGAAAAAAAAATACCAGTTGAAATTAATCATATTGAGAACTGAATGAAATTGTAAATTATAGTTTGGCTCGTTAATTTAGTATTAAAAGTGCTTTCAACTAATAAAGACTGATAAAATAATTCAGAACGGTTATTAACTTCATTAAGACATGATTGTTAATAATTTATTATCATCGACAGGTGGTATTTTATCGAAATTACATAAAAGCTATTTTAATTCTATGTTAGACCAGTTTGTTATATTTCATTTATACGTCCGTTTCAATATTATTAAATCCCCAGCTCTTTGAAATAATTTCTGCGAATTTAAACACAGAGAACATTGCGCGTTTCTTTTCTATTAATAAATCACACAAACTATATAATTTCAATTATTTGTAATTTCAAGAAAAACGAATTTATTTTGTCCAATTTTTGCAAGAGAAAGTATTTTTATAATAGTATTCAAATTTTACTGTTTCTCAGACTGAAAGAAATTTATTTTATTGAAATATGAATATTTTTATATTTTATATTATTATTTATTTTATTATATATTCTATATTTATATTAATATATTAATAATAATTTTATTAATATAAATATTGACTACTTGATAATTATCAAAGACATTTTTTCCTTTTGGTGAAATAATTTTTATTAAAATCGAAATTTTGAATTTACTTTTGAACAAATGAATGTTGAATTTAATTGAAAATTATTTGACTCGAGAAAATTGTTATTTGATAATAGTCGCGTGTAATCGATAAATTTGGTTGAAATAATTTTTCTTCCAGTGCACACTAAGTCTTATTAATTAATGACTGGAAATTACTTTAACTTATCTTGGAACGGAGTGGAAGATAAATTATTCTCACTTTATAATTTCGCCCTTATTATTTTATATGCTTATCTAAACATGACGCTAATGACAGTTTTATGAGATGCGCGCCACTCCCGAAATTATTATGTGGATCGATAAATTCGCATATTTTAAAACTTGCTAAACCTTTCTAAAATATGCATTCGTCCCAAATCCATAAAATTTTTATGACGCAGAAAAATATTCTTGATTCTTTTTTTTTTTTTTTTTAATATTTCCGAAATTCTTTGTTTTATGTACAATTTACAATAAGACAATTACAATTACAGTAAGACAATCTTTTTACTTATACAATTTTAATTACTTCATTTATAGAATTAAATTTGCATTTTGCCATTTTGAATTCCGTTTTAATTTTTATTTTTAAGTAAAAAAAGTCCATTCAGTCAGACAATTTGTAATTAAGTAAAAAAAATTATTCTAGTAAGGCAGATTGTTTTTTAAGTAGAAAAAACTGCGTTTAGTCAGACGATTTCGAATTAAGTATAAAACAATTTTTTATTAAGTAGAAAAAGGAATTAATTTTTAGGAATTAATTAATAGAACAGTTTCTATTTTTAAAATAGTAAAAATGTATTTAGTCGGACATTATTATGTTAAGTAGAAAGAGTTGTTTCGTGCGAGAGAGATTTTGTTTTCTTAAGTAGAAAAAACCGTATTCAGCCAGACAATTTCTAATCAAGCAGAAAAACTCCAAAAAGTGGAAACTTTTTGTATCTAAGTAGAAAAAACTGCGTTTAGTCAGAAATTTTTTAATCAAGTATTATTTTTACTATTTAAAAGTAGAAAAATAAGGAAACAAAAGATAAATTTTGTCAAAGTAGAGTAAATTGCATATAGTCCAAGAAACTTTAATTAGTTGTGGAAAATCACATATATACATATATATATATATATATATATATATTTAGATATTATTAAATGGAAGAAGTTGTCTGACGAGATGATGATAGTTTTTCAACTAGAACAAATCGAAATGAATGATACTTTAATTAGTTTTCAGTGGAAATTTACATATTAAGTACTAGAGAAATTTCTGAAGATAAAATTAGTTTTTTCGAGAAATTTAAAAAATATTTTTAATCTAACTTTAAATTTCAGTGGGTATTTTATTAAAATATTCTTTACTTTTATTATTATTATTATAATTACTATTTTAGTATTCTTATGCTTATATGAATTGTAATCCTTATTTTTATTATTATTTTTCTCTACTATTATTTATTGAAGTATTAAATTAAGTAAAATAATTTGCATAAATTATTTTACATTTAAAAATATTAAAATTATTTTTAATTCAAAAAGAAAGAAAACTTTAAGCCTTAATATTTTGCAGCAACTATAAATGAATGAAACGATCTATCACTTTTTCGTGACTAAAAACAAATGGTAATTAATTAATTCTCTTGATCCCGTGAATATTCTATGATTTTTATTATTAAACCGGAGCTTTTGATTGATTGGGAGGAATTTACATATAACTTGTGTGGAGATAGTTTCTCGATAAATGTGAAATTAAATTTTTCACTTAATCGATACTTGATAGACGTGTTAGGCAGAAAAAGAGAAGGAGAGAGAGAGAGAGAGAGAGAAAGAGAGAGAAAAAGAGACTGATAACTGCGTTCGATTCAAACGTCACATGAGAAGTAGCCGCTCCCATATACTATTGCCAATGATTCTTTTACAAGGATGAAGATTAACTACCATTTTCCCATGTATTCATTTTAGAGTTTAACTCCCATGATCTTTTGATTTTTCTTCTGTTTTGAATGATATTTTCCCGCTTAAACAGTGCGCGCCGCTTTTGTCGATGAGAATTTTCAGATTTTTATCATTTTATCATTCAATATCTGATTTAGTGTAAAGCGGATATTCAAATTAGTAAACATTTTCATTGTAAAATAGTTAAATAGCAATAGTTTAAGTAGAAAAAACCGCACTTAGTCAGACAATATATATAATTGATTTAAAAAAAGTTGTCTTGTGAAGTAGATTTTATTTTTTAAGTAAAAGAAACATGCGATTAGTTGGATAACTTTTTAATCAAATGGAAAAAGTTCTTTTGGTGAGACAAATGTTTATTTTTAAGTGGAAAAAGTCCATCCAGTCAGACAATTTTAATTCAGTAAAAAAGTTATTCCTGTAAGGTAGTCTTCGTTTTTTAAGTAGAAAAAACAGCGTTCAGTCAGACAATTTTCAATTAATTAAGAAAAAGACGTTTAATATAAACAGTTCTTAATTTTTATTTAGAAAAAAATGTCTAAGTAGAAAAACTGCGTTCAGTCAGACAATATATTTCATTAAGTAAGAAAAGTTGTCTATTGAAGTAGATTTTATTTTTTAAGTAGAAAAAAGTGAGTTTAATCGGACAATTTTTAATCAAGTGGAAAAAATCCAATTATTTTCTAAAATTTTAATAAATTCTTCAAAATAAACCTATTGTTTATATAAATAGCAAAATTAATCGCAAAAATTAAATTATTTTTCATAAATAATAAAATTCTTCTCAGGAATTCAATTATTTTCAATACAATTATTAATAAATTCGAGATTATATTGAATAAATTAAAGAAATTTTTCGACAAAATTCAACTATTTTCTAAAAATTTCAATAAAATTCAAGAATTAAATGTTTAATTTCAATTATTAAGACAGACGATTATTTTAAAAACTTGAAAGAAATTGTCTATATAAAATTCATTTACTTTAAAAACTATCAATTATAATTATTAAAGAAACTCCATTATTTTAAAGAAATTTTTCAAAAGAATTCTTCAAAAGAATTTAATTAAGATTCTGAAAAATTTTAATAAAATTCTTCACAGAAATTCAATTATTATCAAATTTTTTGATAAAATTCTTTGCAAGAATTCAATTATTTTCATAAATAATATAACATTTTTACAGAGATTCAATTATTTTCGTGAATAATAAAATTCTTTTTATGAATTCAATTTTTTTTATAAATAATAAAATTTTCGCAGGAATATAATTATTTGGAAACACAATTTTCATAAAATTTTTCAAAAAAAATCAATAATTTATAAAAAATTAATAAAGTTTTTCGTAAGAATTCAATAGTTTTTGAAAATTTTAATAAAATTTGCTGTAAGAATTCAATTATTTTTAAAATTTTTTATAAAAATCTTTTAATTCAATTATTTAAAAACTTTTTGATAAAATTCTCGGCAAAAATTTCAATTATTTTCTAAAAATTTTTCTCAATTCAATGATTTTCAATATCTACTATTTGAATAAAATTTTCCA